GAGAGAGAGAGAGAGAGAGAGAGAGAGAGCAGACCGTGTGCCTACCTTTTCATTATCGTTAAGGTTTGGATTCTCCAACAATTTTGGCTTTTCGTTGGGGTTTGGAACAAACCAAATGAGAGTTTAAAAGAATAGTTTATTGAAACATCAGCAATTTAAGCTTAATGTTTGTCTGAAATGAAACAGACAGTTTCCACGCTGAATATAGGGAACAAAACCATTAAAATACCTCTGATATACTTTGTATAGGAAGGCCAAGATATTACTGCCAATGAAGTTAATGACAATTATATACATGCAATTCATTATAATCAATCGAAGTTATCTCGTTCTTCCTGTTTAAGCAGTAAATTAAAATCAATACGATCGTCACAAATAAAATCGCCGGAAGTAATTTTAGGACTGCAAACAAACTCGTAGTGGCACAAGCACGGGTTGTGTGTCACGTGAGTATTGGTAGACCATGGATTATCTCTACACCATAAACTGTATGTCACACAGCCTAAGTTTCTTTACAATTTTGTTTTCAACTGCAGCTATGTTGATATGCGTTCCATTTAAACTCCGCCCACAATCGAAGGTGACGTAGGTGTCATGTGATTCCCACGTGGGCATGACGTCTTGGTAGACGCAGTGCTGGGTAACACGACAATTCAGGGATCGACCAATACGATCACAGCCCGTCATCACTGATACAGAGTAGCCCATGGGAGCCAGAAGACCTGAAAATATGAACACGTTTTTACGTCAAGATTTCCAGACTGGTATATATGCAATACAGTTTGTATCACAATGAGTTGATGACACCAGAGACAGAAGAATCCAAGCCTACATTCAATGTCACTGGTGATTCTATAGATTGTACTTATGCAAAAATTCAATGTGTGATTGCATGAAGATAAATGAAAGAAACGATTGTGTTGATAATATTTGAATTTTAATAAAAATAATAAAACTTCTGTGATAATAATAGCTCATGCTGTACAAGGCATAAAAATCGTAGTAATAGTTCAGTCTTAACTAAGTAGGAAATGTTTTATAGTAATAATTCATTCTTATAAGAAACTCCGCCTTAAAACGTTGAGCACGCTATCTGAAGGTTCAGAACCACGTGTTCTTTGCTTCACAGCAGGCCCCCCAAAGTTACCATGGTAACGCCAAGAGAAATCATCAAATATTGACCAAACTAAGAGATGGACCAGAGAGTTGATGATGTTTACAAACACTTCGTTTACACACGCTGCCGCCAGTTGGTGTGGGGAGCAATCAATATATGCTAACACAACATATAATATTCACAGTTAAAGCGAAGCAAGGCGATAATCAATACAATTAAGCAGATGTCGCAGCTTGTCAACGTGAATGTGGGAGAGTTTGCAATATGTCTGAAAGTCAATTTTTTTTCCGTAGACACAAAACTAAATCTGTTCCTTGTGGCCTCTGTCGCCATTTCTTAAACTGCTGCATCTGCCTCGGAGAGCGACTTCTTGTGAGAAAGACAGAATAACAGAAAAGAAACCTAAAATTCATATTAAAAATTCGGATGATTTCCCCTCCCCCCCCCAAAAAAAAAAAAATTAAAAAAAAAAAAAATATATATATATATATATATGTATATATATATATATCTGTGTGTGTGTGTGTGTGTGTGTGTGTGTGTGTGTGTGGACTTTAAAAAATGATAATATAGGATAAAACATCCATTCTGTGTTAAGAATAAATTGAAAATCCGCAATAATATGAAGACAGGATTTTGTTAAAAGAATTATGTGTAATGCTGAGAAGAAATTCGGTGTTAGCTGGTGAAAAAAATGAAAATAAATGTGCAACTTAAAATGACTGGGGAATCTTGCACAATCTTAGGTACATAGACATTAAAGAATAATGGACAGAGTACACTCCAGGTTTTGCATTTTAGGGAAACCGCACTTAATCTGTACACAAAAGATATATATTAAAAGCGATTGCCCGTCTGTAAACACTAAAAGCTCGATTAGTAGAAAAAGTGCGTTTTGAACAACTCATCTCAATGTGCAAAAACGAAGCGACAGATGAACCGTATATTTAGATAGAATCACGCAGTCGAAGGGCATGCGCGCATTTTAATCATTCGATTTTCGGAATGGAAGACATTACCAGTAGGGGATTTGGAGGGGGGTCAGGGAGAGCCTGACCCCCCCCCCTTGGTTTTCCAAAAAAAAAAAAAAAATCACACTGAATATTTCCCTCTTGGACAAAGAACTTTGACAAGTGGATTTATACCAAATGGCACCGTTCGCCCTCTAAAATACCAAAAAGGTTTCGGGGCCCTTCAGCGGACGCCGAATCCAAGGGGCGGGGGGGGGGGGGTCTTTTTCGCATCCGCGGACCACCTGGATCCGCCCCTGATTAGTTTGGCACTAGGAATTTTCCCATACCATGCAGTCTGAAACCATGGGGTACTCCAGTCCCACCTCTGCAACCCAAACTGCCAGCAGATGGGAGAACACGTGTTATCGTCATGTGATATTTACGCGTGTTATCATCACACGTGTTGGTATCCACATCCGGAGACATTGAAAGCAATGAGGACTATCTAATTATGCCCCTTTTAGAAACCCCCAATCCACTGCAACAGTATCTGTCTATTCTGCAGGGTATTAAAATTTAGAAAAGATGCAGACCGATTTGCAATAATAAAAATAAAAATAATTAAAAATAAAAAATAAAAATAAATTAAATAGCTGTGCATAAATAGATACATGATAATTACATAAAATTCACGAGGCATACACATTCTTGTTCAGTTTTTCCTTTATGTTACATGAGTCCAATATGTATCTCTACTTCACGACATATAACGACATTGAAGCTTTACTTCATGTACTTTTGATCAGAAAAGTTTATACTGCTTAAAGTTGGTTTCATAAAAAGAGTATACTAGAGATCTTCGAGACTTACACGTCTTGTTTTTCAGTTTTGTCGGATAAGCCTCACTTTCAGTTTTATGGCGCAATAAATCTTGTACTCTTACCTTGAATAAAAACTCCCTTTACACTTGTCAAGGCGGCCATGTTGAGTGCTAGCCAAGGCGCCCGTTCCCTGCCAGACTCGAAGCATGTGTTAGTAGAGTTATCCACTGCCAGCAGACCGTCGTTGTTGTTATAGTAACTGCTTTCATAGATCTCTGGAGCATAAAAAATTAAAGTTTAAATAAAATCTTAATCAACAAATGATATAATCATGATAATGGTATTGCAAAGGTTGTACTACTAGGGTACTTAGGCCACACTTTTTTATTTTTATGGATGACATCCTGCGCGCGCACCGAATTTCGTCCGTTCTCAAAAAAAAAAAAAAAAAATCTCCCCCTTCCACCCCCCCCCCCATCGAAGTCGGTTGTCGCAAACGTCGTTATTGAATTTGCCGGAAAATGAGCTCTCTGCGCATGCGTATTACTGCCACGTGGAAATATGGCCGCTTTGCCATCAAATTCATCTCTAGGATTACTTTCAAATTACAGGACAATTAATTATATAAACGTCATAAAGAGAACGGGGCCGTCGATTTGGATTGTTATGCCATTGATATTGGGCATGGAGATATCCACTTTTTTACAATTATGTGAAAGGCTGGCGGCGGCCAGCAATTATCGGCCGGAAAATTTCAGTGACATTCTGTCCAAAGCAGCACATACCAGGTTTTTTGTAGCGAAAAAAGGGTTGACAGGGCGTCGAGGTATTTGGTGGGCTGTAGGTCGGTCAGGCCACCCGACAGTTTGGCTGCTTCACGTGAGTCGAAGTAGACCAAATGGCATCGACCGAAATGACCTTTTACAGATTTGGTAGTATTAAGCATATCTTTGCTTCATTTTATAACATTTCTGTGTAGTGTTCATAATGCTTTAATATTCTGAGAAAACAAATAAATACATGCTGTTTGTTTGATATTTGTTTTATTGATTGTTATACCAACAAAATGCATGAAATAACCTTAAATAGATTGGGTAATATGCAGCATTTCTATCAGGCCTGTAGCCAGCAATTTCAAAAGGGGGGTTTTCTTTTTTGAAAAAGTGGACCATTTTCCATAAAAACTTAATGTATCTAGGTCAAATTTTACCCAATGTGGACCTTTTCCCAGCAAAAGGGGTGGTTCTTTCGAACCCCCTGGCTACGGGCCCGTCTATTCATGACTTTTTTTTACCTTTCTACGAAGTATTCACAATACTTTAATATTTTGAGAGCATGGATAAAGACATATTGTTAGTTTGATACGTGTTTCTGTGGTAAATTTGTGTTTCCAACTGTGTACTGACAGCATTCCTTTACTTAAGCAGCATTTTTTTTTGGACTGTTTTTTTTTCGCCCTCTCGCACCGATTTCGGGGTCCCCAGAGGATGTCATCCATAAAAATAAGAAAGTTTGGCCTTACCTTGTATCTCCGTCCCACTACACCACAACAAAAGAACACAGAGACGGGGTACTTACCTTGTATCTCCGTCCTACTACACCACAACAACAGAACACAGAGACGGGGTACTTACCTTGTATCTCCGTCCCACTACACCACAACAACAGAACACAGAGACGGGGTACTTACCTTGTATCTCCGTCCCAGTCCAGCCAGTACTACAGAACAGCATCAGGATGCAGAGAGAGAGCGTTCCTCGTGCACGGCACATGGCAGGTTGAGAGAACTAACCAGATTTATCGGATTTCAGACCAAGGCACCGGCAGAGTTGGAAAACTAACGTATTAACCAGATTATTGGCTACTTTCCCGGAAAGCCGATGACAACTGCCTTATTAAACAGACTGTTTATGTCATGAACGCCGCTGTGGCGGAATAACACCGGAAGGCAAATACTTTCTTCTTTTAATCCCAATAAGAAAGCCTGATTCGGGCTTTTACCGCCTGTGTGTTAGTTTGACACGGAAATCATCGATATGTTGGTTAACAAAATGAAAAAAGAAGCAATCAATTCCAATGTGTAGCGTCACTCCCCATGCAGCCTTCAAACTGTCTCTTTACTGGCTCACTGTTCACCTTTTATAGTATTGCCAAGATTTAAACACGGAGTTGGAATGGTACATATAAACGTTCTTATATTTCCCCCTCAGGTAACCACATCAATAAAAAATTGCGGATGTTTGCAGTGCATTAGCTACTGCTAGAGACAGGAAACACCCGGCAAAGTCAACATGACGCTATTCTATCTGTACCAAGCCCAGACTGCAAGTCAGAACATCACCGCTTCCCGCCAGAAAGCTGACACTAGTGAAATCAACTCAATAAATGTCAGCAAGCTAATGTTACGTATTGATGTCAAAGATACCACCGGCGAAGAAATTATTATTAAGTAGCATGTATTTTACATCTTCCAGCTCATTTACTTTTTTTCGCTGTCCCATGAATGGTTTATCTAACTTCCAAGTTCGATTTGAGCACAAGAAATGTCAAATTACATGAAATGGCATTATATATATTTTGATTTAAATATAATATTGCTTTACAGTCTTAATCAGTAAATAATGTTCAGCAGACTTTACAAGGTATACTAGCATAAAATGAATAAAGTAAATAAACAGCACTGAACCCGGTACTTACACATGAGCTGTCCCACTGAACCTGGTACTAACACATGAGCTGTCCCACTGAACCAGGTACTTACATACGAACTGTCCCACTGACACCGGTACTTACACATGAGCTGTCCCACTGAACCAGGTACTTACACATGAGCTGTCCCACTGAACCCGGTACTTACACGAGTTGTCCCACTAAACCTGGTACTTACATATGAGCTGTCCCACTAAAACTTGTACATACATATGAGCTGTCCCACTGAACC